GTAGATGTATCAAACAAGCAAAAGCAACTGTATGATCTGCACATCTTATAATAGGTACAATGCGTGCGATGTTATGACGCTTAAGATTTTTAAGGTTTTTGAAAATAAAGGGCCCTCCACAATTATTGGCACCCCTTGTAAAGATTTGTAAAAAGGGTTAGAAAAAGTTTGGTGAAGCAGCTTCATGTCATGCAGAAAAATTGAGAAAAATCCCTGTACCCTAACGAGGTTTCCAGCAGAGACAGCGAACACATGCGTCAGGCTAGTTGCCAAGACAAAGATGCGCATTGTACCCAAGACAAGATGTGCAGATCATACAGTTCTTTTTCTTTTTATTATTTTTTAATCAAAAATAATATTTAATAGTAAAGATATAGTATGCAGATACACAAATATTAAATAACCCTAATATTAATATATTATATTGTGTTATGCAATTCAAATCATGTATATACCACAAAAAACACAACCCTTAGACATTTAAGGTCTCATAATGTTCCTGGTTGCAGTTTTATTATTCCACCCCACCCCGGTTGAAAAGGGCCATTATAAGTTGTGAATATGTATTTCAATGTCTTCAGAGATGCCTGTTCTGTGCATTTCTTGTAGAATCNCATTAAACTGCTCACATTTTCCAAAACTATTTCCAGAACACTTCTATCCATATGGATACCCTTACGGAGATACATTCATGAATCTCACAGACAATGGGAACTCACCTGAGATTCCTTTACCTGGGACATTCCAGTTCTTTGAAAATGGATACAACAGGACATTTGTAAGTTAACAAATTCAGTCATTATCACACACTCAGTTGTCACTTTTTTTAGGTGCCCTTGCGTAGCACCAGGTAAGAGTCCCTTTCATCTCCAGAACAATGGGTTGATGCATGCTTATCTTTACATCATACTGAGCTCTTGTTTTTGAAAGTTGAATTGAAGGTTACATTTATTAGCGCTCTTTAAACACCCAAAGCACTTCACAAAATGAATGGATGTATATGGAGCCTCTTCAACCACTGCCACTGTGTAGCACTGACCTGCAGCCATTCTGCACCAGTACACTCACCACACAGTAGCTAAGGGGCAGGAGAAAATGCATCAGTTAGATATAGGGGATATTTTGGAGGCCAGACTGATAGGGCCACAGCAGGCAATTTTAGCCAGGGCTTTGGGGTACCTTTAATGACCTCAAAGAGTCACAACCTCACATCTCATCCAATGGACAGCACCAGTTTTACTGCACAGTGTTCCCATGATTGTACTGGGACCCACACAGACCACACCAACACTTCTTCCAGGAGCAACACAGCTTTCCTAGTTGGTCTGCCATCGAAGAATTGGCCATACCAAAACCTGTTTAGCTTCTGGTGGATTGCCAAGTCTGAACTGCAGGGGGTATGGCTGCTGGCTGGTTGCTTTTTGCAGTCTTGGACTTCCTGTTAGCTTTAACAAGACTGACCACAAACAAAACAAAAAGTAAGAAAAGTTAAAATGCAAAACCATCAGATTAAGTTGGCTCTATAACAGCTATATACTTGCAATGTGTGCCTCACTGTATATAGGACAAAAGTGTTTACTAAACAAAAAAATGCATCCTATTTTTATTTACGTTTTACATAGCATCCCGCACTTTTTTGGAAACGGGGTTGTAATATGTTTTTTTTTTTTCAGCTAAATGTCAACGGTGCCCTGACATTTGATTCTCCTTGGATTGGTTACATGCCTTGGCGCTTCCCAGTCAAGAGAGATATCATTGCTCCTTTCTGGGCATATTTCTACACCACGTTTGACGGCTTTGTGTCCTACCGTGGAGTGACCAGTGGGGACATTCTAAACAAAACAACACAAGACATCAACCAGTACTTCCCTGATGTGCCCTTCAATGCTACTTGGGCTTTTATTGTCACATGGTACAATGTTACATACGTCAATGCAACAGGAACGGTAAATGTCTATTATTTTATAACATTGTATAATTTTTATTAATTAAATTTGGGTTCTCTGAAACATTAAACGGGATCATTTACATTTGCAGTTTTCTTACTGCTTGATAATTTCATATAAACTCTTACGAATTAGCTGTAATGATTAATGGTAACAGAAGAGAAAAAAATATACAGCTCAGAAAAAATTGAGACCACTCTATTTTAAAAAAAAAATCTGCATTTTTAAATTCTGGTTTAATCCTGGTTCTACAGTGTGAGGCAGGCTCTTTCCAGGCTCAAAATTTCTAAGAATAAGGTGAAGCAAGAGACACTGGCATGACCAAAAACTAGCCAGGTGGAGGGCAGAAGCACCTTTCTAATACTAAAGATGACTGACACACACACAGACATATATATATATATATATATATATATATATATATGTATATATATATATATTAAGGCTGTCAAACTTAACGGGTTAACACGGATTAATCCATCATCATGGATGTTCTTATGTTCTTATCACGATTAATCTGATAAAAAATTTTAACGCAACATCTGCAACGCAGAATGACTCAAAATCCCTGAAATGTCTCTGTCAACCCATTTCGGGCAGTTTTCGTGCGTTCCATTTGCCCTCGGAACTCGTATTCTGAGTCGGATTCCAGAGTTTTGAAGCCGGAAATGACAACATGCGCACTCCCGTTTCTCGGAAATCCGAGAAATATCTCGGAGCAGCACAGAGGATCCCGAGTTCAGAATCCAAGATGGCTGC